AGAGAAGTGGGTGGAAGAAGATGGATTCGAGGAAAGAGTAAAAGGGAAAGGCCTTGTGATCCGAGGGTGGGCACCGCAAGTACTCATATTGTCGCACCCAGCGGTGGGGGCATTTTTGACACACTGTGGGTGGAATTCGACATTGGAAGGGGTTTGTGCGGGTGTGCCGATGATAACTTGGCCCATGTTCGCAGAGCAATTTTTTAATGAGAAGCTGATTGTGCAGGTTTTGGAGGCCGGAGTGAGTGTTGGGGCTCAGGCAATTGGGCACATGTTTGGGGAAGACAAGTGTACGGTGTTGGTGAAGAGAGAGGTAGTTAGGGAAGCCGTGGAGGAAGTAATGGGTGAAGGAATAGAAGGGGAAGAGAGAAAGAGAAGAGCGAGAGTGCTTGGGGAGATGGCAAAAAAGGCAATGGAAGAAGGGGGTTCTTCCTACTTGAATGTGAGACTGTTGATTCAAGATGTCATCAAACAAGTTAACCACAAGGAATCAATTGAAGAAGACAGTGAGTGTGGGTCTTAAAAGTTGATGAGCAAAAGCGATGTTATGGTGTTTAGATTTTAGACTTTTTTTTTTTTTTATTAACTTTAATTTTTTTTTTTTTTTTTTTTTTTTGAGGAAGTACATAACTTGAATTATGTTGAAAATTTATAAAATGTTAAGCCGCCAAACCGATTCGCATCCATCCGCCAATCTACTAATCCGCTCAATCCATATCTACCAGATTGGTGGACGGATGTAGATTGATTTTCTCTAATTCGCCATTCTAGTGGACGGATGGCAGATTGGAGGCTCCGTGGCCGCAACTGACCCACGCCCACCCATAGTTTAAAATACAAATCACTCATTGTGGTTCTGAAAATTACATTCTACCCCCATGAGATTTCTAATTTTATAACAAACAACTCCTTTTATTAATAAATTATTAACTCAATTAACAGTTTTTAATAATGTTAAAAGGATAATTCAATTATTAATTCATGTACAGGAGGGCATTTACGAATTTGAATTTTTTTATTAATTTTGTTAAATAATTTTTTTTAACAATGAGGTATTTATACTTTTTCAAAGAGAAAATTGCTAAAAAGCCAACGTAAGGAGAATATAAGGCATTAGATCCAATGGATATTTTTTAAGTTGGTGAGAGTTTCACCATTTGTGAAATAATTTGATGAGAAGTCATTTTTATTGTTTAGGAGGACATTTTGTTTGCATTTTCATCCCTTAATTTATCTGTTGACTTTTTTTATTAGCTGTTTAAATTTATATCTATCTGTTAAATTTTTTTCCCTATCTGTTAAATTTTTTTACTTTATCTGTTTAAATTTTTACACAGCTTCGCTCTATGTGTGTGTATTTGTATGTGTTGAAATTCTCATTTTTTTTTTTTACTTATTTGAACAGATCATATTCACTGTTCAAAAAAATTATTTGTTCAATTTTTTTTTTCTATTTGTTAAAAATATCTGTCCATGAATCCACTATCTGTTGGAATCTTTTTCTCTTTTCCCTTATCTGTTGAGCCATTACATATCTGTTCAATGCTATTACATATCTCGTCAACAACATTCATCATTATCAATAACTTCATCACAACATTCATCATCACTAATAACAACAAAAATAAATAAAATAAAAAGAGAAAATGCGAGAGAGAGAGGATTCTTATCTGTTCTAAAAATAGGAAAAAAAAAATTTCAATCTAAGATTTAAAATGAGAAAGAGTAGATCTGGATCAAATCAAATCTCAAAACCCTAATATATATATATACATATATATGTTCAAATCTGCAGGAGGTTTTTCGGCTTCGGTAGTCGGGGGCGGAGTGGGAGAGATGGTGGAGGAAGATATAGCGGCTGCAGCAAACGCCGACCTTGTAGAAATAGAACCAAATGTGTGCTTTGACGCTAACACCTTCTGACCACCAAATCTGCGTTGTTCCAAATATTTGTTGTTCGGCTTTAACAGATTTGAGGCCTCATTAACCAAATATTCAAAATCTCCTTCTTTTTTCATCTTTTTCCACGAAGCCACCTCGTTCCTACGTTTGAAAATCAACTTAGTCTTCCCAATTCAAAGTCGAAACTCATACCTCTACAAACTACAGAATTTCACTTTCTTGGAATCCAATTTCAAAACCCTAGCGCCCTCCAAGCTATTCCATTCTTACCGAACCACTATAGCTCTCAAAACATCCTGATTCAAAATCATCACGATTCAAAATCATCACAACAATACATACCAAACGACTTAGATTCAACACCCACAAACGCGCGCACACACATAAAAACATCTTAATTAAGAGTTCAAAAGCAATAATTAAAAAGAAATTAATATGAACCTAGAAGAAATAAAAGGGTTAAGGACGAAACTCGTCGCTAATCTTGGGAAAAACAAAGTAAGAGATATTTAGGGTTAGGTGAGTAGTTATTGATGTTAGGGTTTCGAAGACGAGAAGAGAGAAGTTGATAGAGATAGTAAAAGTGGGTTTGATCATGATTTGGAGAATAGGGTTGTTGTTTCAGCAATGAATGTCGACGACGCTGACTAGTAGGCATTCTGGGATTGGAGGTTTGAATCAGGCACTCTAGTCGTACACTATAAACGATTGTTGTTGTTGTTGTTGTGGTGTTCCAGATCTTCGTTCTTCTCTCCAACTCAAACGATGACATTGAAGGGTCGTCGCCACGTGCGACGGTCGAATATATGATGGTAGAGGTGGAGCATGAGAGGAAGAATGAGGTGTGAAGAAGGACGGAGGGTGTGTTGGTAGAGATGTTTAGGGAGGTTCTAGCGGAGCTCAATTGCGAGTATCAGGGTTGTGAATCGGTGGAGAGCTTAAAGCCATAGCGATGATGTAATCAAAGCCCTAGCAGAGGAGGCGGACGATGGAGGAGTCAAATCGCTTGTAGTTGCCACTGCAGTTGTTGAACGAAGAAGTCACGACGGAAGATCTTAGGTATACAACGATGGACGCTACCGGAGCTAGGTTTTCGACCGTGAAGAGAGAGAGAGAGAGAGAGAGAGAGAGAGAGGTTTTGTTAAAAGAAGAATGGAAAAAAGAAAAGGGTTTGGTCTTTGTGTATATCGTGTGTGATATATATATATATATATAGGGATATTTTGGTCATTTTGTCTAAGCTTGTCCTTTTGGACAACACTTTCTAGCCCCTAGACCTTTGGCCAAACAAAATTGGAATTTGGATTTATGGATCGAATGTCATTTTTCAAATCAAATGGAGCAATTCATATTTAAATCAAATCTCAAAATGATTCATAACTTCTTCTCTTTTTTTTTTCTCAAAATGATCCATAATATTTATCATCACAAAAAATTCGTAACATTTGTACATCTTTCATAACATAGTCACAATTTGTTACATAACTACAATGGTTGGTAATTTTCACTTTATGAGTGCATACCATACGTTTACCATAAACTGACATAATACACACAAGAAATATTTAGATCAGTAATAAATTTTACTATGAAGAAACATAATACACAATAAATATTCACAACTTTCACCACAAACAAACAATCACAATGTTTTTTTTATGATGTGCCTTTTTTTAAGGTTCACACTCTAGATTTCTCCAAATAAAAATAAAAATGAATTACAATTACACCTCTTGAAATTTGTCAAAAATATGTATTCGCTCCTCACGTTTTGAAGAATACAAATGCTCCCTTATTAGAATTTTTCTTGCAATAGACCTAACATAAATAAATTACTCAAACACTCTCTAATACCAAAAAATGAAATTATAATCATACTAACTACTAAATTTTCCTCTCTACACCACCATAATATTCTCTAATTCTCCTTAAGGACACACCAAATACATGTAGATACTAATGATAGTGGTGTTGATTGACAGTGGGAGAAGGTGATGCAATGGTTAGGCAAAGTGCTCTTACTAGTTGAGAGATAATGGGAAATAAGGAAGGTGAGATAGAAAAAATAAAAAATAAATAAAGTGTTTAACTCTATAAAGGTTAATATAGCTATTTTCATAAATATAAAAAATAAAAAATTATTACTTGTGTCATACACTCTGTTATTATGATTTAACGGTTAATTAACGTTGTAGGCTATTTATTATGTGATGTTTGGAAATCCCAAAGGGATGAAATGTAGCTTCTCAAACATTAGGGGGATCTGTATTTTTAATAAACATTATCAGAGATCTATTTATAATTTACATAAAAATAGCATTTGCAATTGAATTAAGACTCAAGATAATTTTTATTTAGCTCAATGATATAAAGACCGGTAAATTTTTCATTTATTTATTTATTTTTATTTATTTATTTTTTGTGTGTTTTGGAAAAATAAAAAAACAAAACAAAAAAACAAAACATCGAAAATGAAACGCTACCAAACCCTCATTATTTCTTGTTTCAATTTCCATTAATCAATAAAATTCAACTTTTGTGTGCAATTAATATTTGTAATTCTTTTACCTAACAAGTTAACAACCATAAAACAAATATTATTAGTTGACCTTTTGCATTTTAAGTAACAACCGAAAGTTTTGAGTATTTTCAAGAAATTAATACTATGAGACATTGTTTGATCCTTCCTATTGATTTTGTCGGCATCCAACAAAGTTTGTAATAGGCTTTTGTGTTTGCGTTTGTTTTTTATTTTTTATTTTTTTCTCCTTAGCCAATTGCATAACTTGTTAATATTTATAGCGATCCTGGTCTTTCCCCATTTGATTGTTGTATCCGGACTTAGGTTCCGTGGATCCTGTTATTATATATTTGTTGTTGTCGTCCTTTAATTCCTTGTTATTTGAGTTATAGGATGTATTGGACAGGTTTGTTACAGGTTGGGAGTGTTTGGGAGCAAAGGGTTGCTGCCCAGAATTTTGGG